ACTGCTAACCAGAAGGCTGGCGGTTCAAACCCACCAGCTACTCCTCAGAAGGAAGGTTGGGCAATCCTACTTCTGTAGTGATACCGCCTCAGAAACCCAAGGAGGGGTCACTATGAGTTGGGGCCGACTCAACGGCACATAACAACAACAACAACAATGCGTAGTATATCGATCTTTATGTGTTCCATTTCATTTTTGACAACTTCTACTTTTCCTAGCTTCATACTTAATACGGTCCATGTTCTGATTATTAATGGATGTTTGCAGCTGTTTATTCTCATTTTGAGTCATGCCACATCAGCAAATGGAGGTCCTGAAAGCTTCACTCCATCCACATCATGAAGGTTGGCTCTACTCTGAGGAGGCAGCTCTTCCCCAGTCGCATTTTGAGTGCCTTCTAACCTGAGGGGCTCATCGGACAGTGTTTCAGGGCCATTCTTAAAGTTTTCCAGTAATATATCAGACAGTGTTTCACTACTATTCATAAGGTTTTCACTGACCAATTCTTTGAGAAGTGGATGGCGCCTTCCTTCTTCCAGGTCTGTCTTAGTCTGGAAGCTATGCTAATAAAATAACCTAAGTACTGACCTCTAAAGACAGACTCCCTGCCCCAGGACCCATTTGTTGGATAAGTAACCCTCTGTCTTTGGGCACCTTTGATAGTTTCTTAAGGTAATAGATTATAGTTCAGTGCTAATCTGTTTGGTTGTATGTTTCTCTGACTTCTTATGTCCTTAATTGGACTAGCAGTGTGAGAGAAGCCAGCAGGGTCATCCTGTATGGGGCCTGTGGCAGCAGATACTATATACTGCCTGTAAGTGGCTACAGGGATAGCACGGTAAGACCTGACAAAACCTCCACCCGTTGCCTAGTGTGTCACTGTAAAGACTCTACTGCTTCATTTCTCAGATATGTGTTAAAAGACATCTGTGTGAGAGAATTCCCAGGCGAGTGGATGGTCTGAGGATGAGTTCCTCTGACCTGAGAAGTAATGGCAATGTGCTAGGAGTGGGAAATCTGAAGCAGGTGAATGGATTTCAAGCCATAGTGTTCCAGTAGTGTGTGCCAGAATCAACATGCCGCCATTATGGGCAGACCCCAGGTTACGAACGAGATCTGTTCCTAGCTGTGTCTTTAAGTAGAATTTGTAGGTAAGTAGGAACAGATCCTTAGGATTCTTATTTAGCCTTACTTTAGTGCAAGAAAAGGCTCAATGCCTGTTCAGTTATTTAAAACTGCACTTTTAGCAAGTGAAGGTGATGGTGATGAAGAATTTGTTGTGAGTAGGGATTGGTTCAGTCATTTCAAAGTCAGGGCAAGTTTATGTAACATTAAAGCAGTGCTTCAAACAGGTGAGCAGAGTCAAAACAGTGGCGCCCCACTCAGAGATGGCAACTGACCATGCTACTTTGTATGTAGCTCTCTCTAGTCCTGCCAGTAATCCAGTCTCATGCATCAGGCTCTTGAAAGGGCTTACTGCGCCTCTTCTGAGTATTGCATTCCAGGGCTTTGATATGTAATGTTTTCCATTTGAGTTACTGTGATGAATTACCTAAATTTTTCCTGTTTTGCTTATTGGGCCTTCGTAGTACCAGTTTGAATCAGTTCAAAGTCCTGCTTAATAGGCAAATAGGAATTGTCCATAAGTTAGATATTTGTAACTTGAGAACTATCTGTACTCTATTTTTGCATGCTTTATTGTAAAGGAGTAGTATATCGCCTCCTTACAGTATTTCTTTTGTTTTTTATCCTAATAAAAATTTGCTCTTTTTTCTTTTTTTTTCTTTTTTAAAGAATATGGATTGTGTTCAGTTCCATTTGAAAATAAGCTCTATCTAGTTGGTGGACAAACTACAATCACGGAATGCTATGACCCTGAACAAAATGAGTGGAGAGAAATAGCTCCCATGATGGAAAGGAGGATGGAATGTGGTGCTGTCATCTTGAACGGATGTATTTATGTCACTGGAGGATATTCCTACTCAAAGGGAACGTATCTTCAGAGCATTGAGAAATACGATCCAGATCTTAATAAGTGGGAAATAGTGGGTAATCTTCCAAGTGCCATGCGGTCCCACGGCTGTGTTTGTATGTATAATGTGTGATCAGATCCATAGAACTGAGTAATCACTGTTTTGGGGGTATAATAAAAAAGAGTTGTGAAGCCCCTAACTTGTTTTGTAGCCTGGCACCTAGTAGGAAATTGGCAAATTTTAATTCTTAACCCTCACATTACCCCTAAACCCAGTGATTAAAGGTGAGGAAAATTCTTGTGTATATATGTAGTTGAATCTGTGGGATTATCCCCTAAAATCTCTGGTTTTTAAAGCTAGTATGGACTATTGGACATTTGGTGAAAGGTGAAATGCTTTTGTTGCGAATCTCTTCCTCCTGGTAGCATCAACACTGGGTGTAGGTCAAAATAGTTCTATGGACTGAATGTCTGTTATGATCTTGTAAGGTAATACAGACGGTGTATATCAAGGTTCTGTTTAGCTAGCAGGAATTTGAAATTTAAAGAGGGAATCTTTTCTACCTCTACAAAATCAACACTTAAAAAAACAAACACATTTTCACCTTTATAATTATTTAGAATGTGGACTGAATTTAGGTCTAGTTTATTTTTCTTTGTAGTGTATGTAATTTATTGTTAGTTTTCTTTATTTACTGACCACTAGCTATATACAAAATGCTGTGTAAAAAGTTCATTACTTTACAGAAAGTTTATAAACTAAGTTTAAAAGAATGACAGCTTAGAAAAACTACAGATAAAATAGTCAAATATTTGCTGATACTAAGGGCTATTTTTAATTTTCAACTTTGATGTAAATTGTCAGCTTAGGTATCTTTAGTTTAAGCATGTTAGAAAATTCCTTATTCTTAATTGTAGGTACATGTTTGCCTATAAAATTGAGTTTCAGAGCTAGAAAATACATAGAATGGTTGTGATACAGTAGAAAACACACTGATGAGAGTAAGGAAATTTGAATTCAGTTCCTAACTCTGCCACTAGCTAGGTTTATGACTTGAGTTGAGTCACTTAACTTCTCTTTGACTTAGAGCTTCCCAACCCATGTCAGCTGGCACTGGGGGTCATAGACGTCCCTAGATATGGATCCCTGAATCCCTTCAAGTGTCCAGAGGGGAACTGGGTGGCTGGAGCCTCCGAGTCAGAAGCACCTTTGTCCTTTACCCTGGCATGCCTACCGTTATCACTTTTCGAACTTCTAGTAATCTGTGAGACTATCTATTCCAAACCCTTCATTTTTAAAAAAGAAACCATAGTTATATTTAATTTTAAACACTGATACTTAAAACTACCTAACACTTCTGATTTTATTATTATTTATTTTGGAAAGGAACTGTTGAATGCCCTCATTTCAGATGCCATTTTAAATAGATACAACCCTTTGAGAGTGCAGTATGCTACTACACAACAAGAGCAATACAAATGACCACATTTTCTGCCCCATTAATTCTACTCCTAGATTTTTAACCTAAAGGAACAATTCAAAAGAAAAAAGGTAAATGTATGAAGATGTTTATATCTGTATTGTTTGTGATAGCGAAATTGGAAATATATGTCAAGGAAAAAAGTGGGCTAATAAAAACAGTAAACTATTAAACAGCCATTAAAGTAGATATCTGGAAGACCATATGAGAACATGGGTGTGTCTATGATATGGTAAGTAAAATAAGCACAATACAATATAGTATTCACACTACTATTTTGAGTTTGTAAACTATTTGTGCATGTGGTTATTCATGGTGTTAGTATATGGGGATGAGAAATGATTTTTAATTTATTTAAAAATTTTTTCTTTAATATTTGTGTTTTCAATAAAAGTAAATAAATCACTGTATACCTGGTAAAACTGCTTTATTTGGGGTCTACTGAGATGAAGGACAGTCTGACTTCATGAAACAATTGAATTACGGACTATTTCAAATACATTTTATGGATCTCAAGAGCATTTAGTAGTTACTGCTGGATCAATAATATGTTGCCCAGTAGTGCTTTGGGGATTTCCTTTGTGGAACAGATAAAAGTACTGATAATTCCCCTCGCCTCCTTCTAGCTTATCTAAGTCTTACAGAATTCTGACTTAAGTCTAACCTTTCCTGTGAGTTCTTTCTTGACTCTTCTAGCCCCGGTAAAACTCCCATTGTCACACTTGCAGAGTTTATCATTTAAATGTACATGTCTCCTGGCTAGAATTGTGATCATGGGTCACATCTTAATATTGTATTCTCAAAGTCTAGCATTTCATACATATATCCACCATACTTTTTTTGGGGGGAGGGGCAGTATGGTCATAATGGTATTGGTTATTTTTACAGAGGAGCATTTCACCAGTGTTTGGGGAATCTTAAAAATAGTTTATGATCTGAGGTGTTTAATTTATAGCTCCTCTTTGTTAAATTCTTTTTTTGCTGTTGGACTTTACATGGAAGAAAAGGATCAAGTAAGATAACTAGAATGAATATCTTAGTTACTAGTGCTGCTATAATAGAAGTAACCCAAGTATATGGCTTTGACAAACAAATTTATTTTCTACAGTTTAGAAAGCCAAAAGTCTAAATTCAGAACGCCAGGTCTATGGGAGGGCTTTCTATCTCTGTCGGCTCTGCCGGAAGGTCCTTGTCTCTTCAACTTCTGTTTCCTGGTTCTTTAGAAATCTCCATGTGTCTTAGCAAGGACTGTTAACCAGAAGGCTGGGGCTTCAAACCCACCAGACACTCCTTGGAAGGAAGACTGGGCAATCTACTTCCGTAAGGATTTACTACCTTGAAAACCCAAAGGGGGTCACTATGAGTTGGAATCTACGCAATGACAATGAGTTTGGGGTTTTTTGGTTATGTGTCTTAGTACGGGAGCTCTGCTCGCATTTGACTGCTAACCAGAAGGCTAGCGGTTCAAACCCACCAGCCACTCCTCGGAAGAAAAGTTGGGCAATCTATTTTTGTAGAGATACTGCTTTGGAAACCCAATTAGGGGTTGAATCGACTCAATGGCAGTGAGTTTTTTTTTCTTTTCTTTTCTTTGTTACTGCTTTAGGAGGCGATCATTATTTTACTAAATAATGAACATTATGGACATTCTTTCAGACATGACTTAATTAAAATGACTGTCAGTATCCACATTTTAAAATCACTGTTTCTCGCAAGCTTTCTTGTTTTCTAGCTGCAGCTGAAAATAGTCAACTTCTAATATACTTGTTTGCTTAAAGGCACATTAGCATTTGTTTTTATAGTCATATAACTATATACCTACAAAGGGATCTGCTTTATATAGTGGGATTTAAGTGCTGCATCAGCTGGTAATTGCTTATCAGTCTGTCTCCCAAACAACCCTTCTTGCCTCCCTCCCAGTGACGGTAACATATCAGACAAGAGACTGATCTTTAAAATTTATAGAACACTTCAACACTTTAACAACAGAAAAACAAACTATCCCATTAAAAAATGGGCAGAGGTCAGGAACAGACATTTTATGAAAGAAGACATTCAGGAGGCCAACAAACACATGAAGAAATGCTCATTAGTCATTAGAGATGCAAATCAAAACAACAATGAGATATTCTCTCACCCCAGCAAAGTTAAAAAAAAAAACAGGAAACAACAAATGTAGGTGAGGGTATGGAGTGACTGGAACCCTCATACACTGCTGGTGGGATTGTAAAATTGTACAGCCACCATGGAGAGCCGTATGATGCTTCCATAAGAAGTTGAAAATAGAGTACCATATGATCCAGCAATCCCACTACTAGGATTATAGGATTACTAAGATTATTATATACTATTATATATGCTACAGGAGCTCTGGTAGCGTAGTGTGTAAGGCACTTGACTGCTAACCAGAAAGCTAGCGGTTCAAACCTACCAGCCACTCCTCGGAAAGGAAGGTTGGGCAATCTACTTCCGTAGTGATACCGCCTCAGAAACCCAAGGAGGGGTCGCTATGAGTCGGGTCCAGCTTGACGGCACATAACAACAACGTTATACAATGTTATATATCCTACAGAAATAAGAGCCATGGCATTAAAAGCTATATGCACAACCTTGTTCATCACAACACTATTCACAATACAAAAAAATGGAAACAACCTTAGTGTCCATCAGTGGATGAACGGGTAAACAAACTATGGTACATACAATGGAATACTACATGACATTAAAGAATAATGATGAATCTATGAAACACTTTATAATATGGATCAACCTGAAGAGCACTCAGTGAAATAAGTCTATCACAAAATGATACTTGTATGAGACCACTACTGTAAAAAATCAAGAAGGGTTTTCACACAGAAAGAAACATTCTGATGGTTACTAGAGGTGGGAAGATGAGGGAGGGTAAATTACTAACTAGAGGTTGGACACATATTCACTTGGGTGAAGATGAAGGTAATATACAGTAAGGGGAAGGTCAGCACAATGTGATCCAAGGCAAAGGAAGACACTGGGAGGAGCACAAAAGTGAAAGGCAACAAAGATAAATACTATTACATACACAATCCTGCAATAACAGTTATAGTCTTCGAGTGGATACGGGCAAGCTGAACAGGTGTGGCAAAGTGAGTGGTACTGCAACCACAAATACATATAGGTTTGACAGAGGGTATTTCTGCACATCTATTTACACATACTGCAAATATATCCATGAATATAGTAGAGCATACAGGGGGCAAAGTTATGAAAACTCCTTATCCGTAACAAATACTTTGAAGGAATGAGTCTCTGGGCCTGGGAGCTCAGGACTATAGTCTAAGGGGACATGAAGATCTGTTGTCATAATATAAGCCACAAAATACATCCTACATTGGTGAGAGGAGCTCTGGTAGCATAGTGTCTAAGGCACTTGACTGCTAACCAGAAGTCTGGGGGTTCAAACCCACCAGCAACTCCTCGGAAGGAAAGTCGGGCAATCTACTTCTGTAGTGATACCACCTCAGAAAGCCAAGGAGGGGTCACTATGAGTCAGGTCTGACTTGAGGACACATAACAACAACACTTTTGTGAGTGGTGACTGGGGTCTTAAAAGCTTGTGAACAGGCATCTAAGGTGCACCTATTGGTCTCTCCTTGTCTGGGGCAAAGAAAAG